ATGTCTATAATTCGATCTTATGATGAAATATTAAAATTTGAAAAATTAATTCGATAAAAGTTTCGTACTTTTACACATTGGTTCGTAAATTGTATTCGGTTTAATATCATGAAGCTTTATTGTAAAATTTGAACACCACTCAGTATTAAAAACAAAGTTCGGTGTACCATGCATACAGTTACTCATATAGGACAGGATAAATGAGGGTTTTGAAATTCAAGAGAGTAGGTATAATAATTGAATCATTGACAATACGTCTTTGAAATCTTAATTCGGCGTTCGAAATCAATATTTATCCTTATAAGTACATACGGTAAATTGGTGACACAATTTTTTTCTCCAATACTATGTCCGATTGTACCTATGTTGGTGTACATCAGTCGTAGTGGTTATTAAATATTTATACATACATTTATTTTTATTATTATTGTTTTGTACACGCGCGTGCATGATAGTAGTACTGGAACGAATACGAATAATGCACACACGACTGAAATGAAATTGGATTTTGGTCGTTCGCGGACGCATGCCCAGACACGGTCAAGACGAGACGTGATCAGGAGTGTACCCAGGAATTTTTTATGGGGGGGGGGGGTCCAACATTTTTATTTTATCTGTTCACTAATTATAAATATAGTTTAACTCAATACCAACAAATTACTGTTAATTACTACAGTACAGTTTATACATTATAGGTATAATATATAATCTATAAACTTTGTATATTGAAGATAATGGGAAATCAAAATATACTACACCCTATTATTGTACTATTTACTATTAAATCGTCGAGTATGTAGAAATTTTAATGGGGGGGGTGTCCGTACCCGAAACCCAACCCCCTCACCCATTGGGTACGCCCTTGGACGTGATATTACACGATTAACGTTACATGTATACGTAATACAATATGATAATGTTGTGCGGAAAACGTTACGAGCTCAGCTGGACGTGGTATAATGACCACCACTCGTAGTATATCGCGCGCGCGATCGCCACCGGTCTTAGTGTGCGTCTGCTCCGCTTACGGATCCGAAGAAAACACGAACCGTGAATGACGTGCACTCGAACACCATGATGCGAGGCAGTGCACAGGCATACACGTTATACACCCATGTGACCGATTTGGTGGCCGGCGGTCGCCCAAAGCTGCAGTTTACCGTTACGGATACATCGTATGTCGCCCAGGGGATACCGCGACCGTGGTTAATCATAGCATACGCGTATGACCTACGTGATACCTACGCGCATATTGTGAACACTTGCGGCTACGGCCTAAACCGTTTGCCGGCGTAACGCGTTTGCGACCTTGTTGCGGTTTGTGATTCGAGTTACAGGATTTGTTTCCTCGGGGACGGGCACATTGTAGTAACGCATTTTTATGAAAACCGATACGCGACCGCAGCGTAATGCGTCTGCGTAGTATTATAACTGCGAATTCCTCGACTCGCAGTGACGTGAACACCGAATGTAATAGAAAACGAATCGGCTGAAAACGTACGCAGCGGGTAGGACAGGGGGTCCATGGGCGTGTAGCGCTCCCGAAAATGTTTCCGTACATAAATCTCAATTTTTTACGATTTAAATGTATGTCAAATATTTTTAATTCAAACGGTAAATAAAATTAAAAGCTATTTCTAATTTAAATGTATATGATACGTTGTACTGATAATTATTTATTCATTTATTCAAATTTTTCGTTGACAGAATGATTTTTTTTTAAAAACTTCGATCGCAAAAACAAAATTTCGTCTATTTGCTTGTGTGTACGTGACGATTATGTGTATCCGATGAACGATAATAATTAAAAAATTACTCGGCTCGCGGGCTGTAACATCATTAGACAAATAATATACTAGTATTATGCACGTAAAATTACGTTAGCTTGCACATACAATGCAAAGGCGATTCGCAAGACAGCGTTCATGTATGTATTTATATAACTTCAATACATTTCTTTATAAATGATTACACAAACAGGATCGGCATCAATAAGTTTCTATTTGAATATCGATTTTTTTTTTTTATCATAAGTATTATTATCATTATTTATTACAAGTTTTACATATAGTTGTGTATGCTTGTGCATGCTTGTCGAGCGATCATTAGTTTACACTCATAATTCGATCGATTTCTCAACAAAACACATTTGAAAGGTAATTACAATGACGCACTAATGGCTAATAATATGGTTTTTGACTTTTTGTTTTCGTCGTTCAAAACTTCGGGTCAGCTGGTTATTATATAGCATCGTATAGCGCGAAACGTTATTTGTACAACTAAATGATATTGCATTAGATCATCTGGTCGTAAAGTGTCAAAATAAAAATATGCTTTCACCTTAAAAATTTCAGCTAACAGCCATGTATACAACACTGCATACCTAGATGGCCAAATCCATGTAAATACATGATATTAACGCTACAGACCCGTAGGGAAGCAAAGAATAAAATAATAATTATTATACTCGTATTGTCGCGTTGTATTACGCGTATAAACACGGTGCGCGTGTCAGAGTCGATAACATTCGTCAGAAATCATTCGTGGTGTAATTGAAAATATCAATCGCTATGTTATTACACGAATGACGACCAATGGGAACATTGCATATTATATTAAGAAACAATTGAATTCCGTACAAAATATCGTCGTTTATACCAAAGTACGCGGTTGATAGTATTGCATTTTTACCGATGGTAAGTATTCGAAAAGCACAAATACGATTGTGCTCTGTTTTTGCGCAGAAGAAGGTGAGAGGTATTATTCAAGATTGACAGTTATATTCCGCAACTTTTTCTTAAAAAACGGGTTTTTACGTATGATTGCGTACATTTCCACATGAGTATTTCTCGACGAATCAATTATACTAATGTTCTTCGCACTCGTACAATTATTTTTATTATTAACTATGAGCTACGCGGTGATGGTAACCTTGCCACACGAAGACATGAGGACATCATTATATTATGCACACAACAACAACTTAATGTTGACGGGAAAATGCTTTTAAGAAAAAAAAAACAAAAAAAAAATGCATTTTATTTCTGTATGTGACGAGCGCGTTGTTGTGAGTCATTATTTCATTTTCTAGAGATATTTACTGAATATAAAGGTTCGAGCTTACACACAACACTCTCATTAGCCCTATAATAAATATCTCGGCCGCCGCCGTTTCTATTGTTGCGCATATATTATACCATGTGTGTGAGCTGTTTATACGGATTATACGTAATGTACGCACACACAGACACACACACGCTCGCGTTATACTTAATGTGCATGCGAAAAGAATATTTTCAAAAATGAAAAAAAAAATTCTAAGGAGCACGCATGTACGACACGTGCGGAGTATAAAATGCATAATATCGTTAATATACATTGTGTAAGGGGCTCGTGCGGAAAGTTAACCGCCGACAGAATGCAGAAGAAAATATATTCGCGCGACTCTATCTGCCAGCGATATTATGCACTGACCGTATAAGATATATATCGGCAGACCGTTGGTACGCAATTGAACAACTCTGTGTATGGATAGAGAAGGAAAAAAAGAGATTTTTATAAATGCCCAAAAACAGAGGATTTTTTCATCAACCTTTTTTTTTATTAAATCACATGCGCGCTCACTCGTGGTTGTGATATAGATACTTTAAACTTAACTCGTACGATTAATATAAGGAGACGCAAATACATGTTTTGGAAATACACACGTACAGCCCGGTTGGGTGGAAAACGGAGAAGAAAAGAAAAAAAAAATGTAAAAAAAAATTTAAACACGTACATATACTAATCTAGATACATGTCCGTGTTCTACGAGATACATACATACGTACATACTAGAGCACCAGTTATATTGTTATTTTTAACGAGGTACATGCATTTGAGAACTCATACTTCAATAAAAATTGGAAATAGCTCTATTTTGGGTTGGAATGATAAGAGTTATTTATTTTTTATGTAGCTTTTACCCTATAATCATTTAAAGTGTTCGAAAAAACGCGGAAAAGTTCTCAGGGTGATTTTCGCTAAAAATGTAATTTACTACTTTTGCATCAGTCCGTGGTTCATTCATGTTGACGTCAAATCGAACAAATTGTTGGGTTGTGATGAACCATCGCGGAGGGACATCAATATATTACCATCCGACTTCCAAACGCGTCCAATACCACCCGAAACACGATAATCTAAACTAACGGTGTTCAAGGCTTTTCAAAGTATCCCCTTCTGCATTTATCTGTACATCTAATAGTATAAAGTATAAGTGTTTATGTATTTGATTTTATCACATTTATACGATACGTGTACGTATAAAGATTTATTGGAATTACGGTACTCCATTGTAATAATTGCGAACACAAACGCTTTGTGTGCATCAGGTCTATGTATACGTGTACAATGTAAGAGTATATGTGTGTGTGTGTGTGTGTGTGTGTGTGTGTGTGTGTGTGTTGTGCTGCTGAGTGTCGGGAGACGACGGAGAGAAGAAGCGACTACTGAGCGAGGTTCAACAACCCGTCGTCGATAATTTCATAAGTTTATAATATGTGGCCCACGCTCTCGTTTATTTCATATTTATTATATTATCATTATTGTATTAAGACCGATGACGATCCAGGGAATAATTGAGTTGCCGCATTCGATAACGCGAGTGCAATGTGTGTGTGCGTGAAAAAGATAAAAAATAATAAAATAATAATAATAAATAAATCGATATCTGCGGCCTAAATATCGATTTATAATGTCACGTTACACGCCTTGTGGTACATATACGATAATGCACTGCATCATAACGTACACAATAATATCGTCCCCAGTATACGTACAGGTTTTTTGTGACTGAAAATATTTATGATGCGCTCAGTCATTTGCATTGGCTTACGAACATTATACTATTATAAAACGTACGTCCAGTACAATACAATTTCATGGTACTGTCGTGCGTCTTATTATACATCTCATGATATTATTGTTATTGATATAATATTATGAAGCACGAGACTTACTGAAACAGCTGTTGTAAAAGCACTTCCGGTATTCTGAAAAAAAAACAAAATTCGTTAATACGACGTTTCGATGATTGATTTATTATTTATAATTTACAAATTCATTGATTTTTTACTACGAAATTGTAATAAAATGTATATATACCAAAGAAATATAGTATTTGTTTTATCAGGTAAATAGTAAAAAATAAGTATCACACTTGCCCGACCGTAATAACAATTTGATCACGTTGATATATTCCTATAGTTTAAAGAGTAATGATATATGTAGTATAAACTTAATGGGTATTTGCATAAAAGCTACCTATTTTTATTGGGGGGGGGGAGACGTTTTTAAATGTTTTTTTCAGTTTACTCGTTTTCAAGTATTAAACTGTGCGGTAAAGACGTTTAGAAAATACATTCCATGATTCACGCAGAACCTGAAATATCGTTAAAATGTACTTGCTCGTACCGAGTTCACATCTTGTAACGAACAACTTTATGATGATAATTGTAATAACATGTCACACTTGATTATTCCTTGTAAACCTCGATGACCATATTATCGTAAACCATTTCAACACTTGCTTTTCGGAATGATGTATACTGTTATGTTATTGACTACTCCGGAGTTCAAGCGAACATAGCGCGTTAAAAATGTCGAGTCGTTTGTTAGGCGTTACGCAACAACGGCATATGAATATATATAAGATGTACCGAAGTCATTTATAATAATATTTCGAGATCTATAGACGAACAACAATGTGCCATCAGTTGCCGCTCATAGATGACGACATGACCAATGTCATTACGCATCTCGGGGATGTAATTTGGGTCGTAATTTTCTTGTACGCCTAAACGATTCGGACTTCATTGCGAGGGCGACGAGGACTACGAAGACAGGCTTTAACATTAATATTTTATTTTTCTCGCCGAGACCGCTGCGTGTATCTACAAAAAAAAAAATGTAAACGCGCACACGTGCACCACGCGACAAACTGTTCGGCGCTCGAGTGGTGCGAGAGTAATCGACTGGAGTACACACGTCGAATAGCATTGTCAAAATCAAGCAATCCGTGTCTTGGAAGGGCACAAACTGTATACAAAATAACAGGTTTCAAGGGTTTAACCAGGTAATTGGAACGGACATTTTTTTTATTTGAAATTTATTCCTAGTATCCCGGGCAATGCAATGAAAAAGTTTACGACGAAACACGCTTTTGAATATTCGGGTAATCACGGAAATTATCTGCACAAACAATGTTAAAACTACGAGTTATATGTTATTTTTACTCGTATATTGAGAAAAAGCTCGCATAAACGATGTCGCGTTTCGATTGAAACAATTTTCGAAAGTATATCGTGTATTATTCATAAATCGAACAGACGGATTCTTTCGTTTATCTTATACATCGGTTATGTATTAGACGGAAACATATTAATAATACAATATTTATAATATACATTATGGAACGAAATACAATTTAAATTTTATGTTTACGTGGAATTGCTTTTATCGAGACGGCTATGATAAAACTTGACAGTTAATTGTCACCGTAGCCGTGTGAATAATATTTATTATATGCGTGCAAAAGAAAACAAATTACTACCAGTTTCCAGGTGCCAAGTAACACACAAATCATACACTGTCGGATTCGCATACTTACATAACATAGGTTTGTGTCAGTCGAATCAATCGGTTTTTAATTTTTTTATTTAATTTTTTTTCGCGTTGTAATTTATATTATTATCCATTACTCGCCGTCGTGTGGTAGCATTACAATGTACAGATAAAACGTATGTGCGTTTTACCTATTAATAATTTTTAATAGTTCGTAAACGATGTACGACGAACGCGTATGTGTAAATGCATGTATGTACATAGTACGATCGAGCGTTCATTATAATATCTCGGCCGAGACTGATTGGCTGTCGACCAACGTGTGTGTGTGTGTGTGTGTCTATAATAATGGTATAACCTTTATGTGTATAATATGAAAAATAATTTTACCATTATCGTGTCGGCAACTTTTTGTCCGGCAATTATTGTATTGTAGCGGGGTGCGCAAGGAAACATTATATTATATTTATTATACGTATACGTCTACGGTTCTCAAATCTTTTTGTTTGCGGAGGCCTATTAAAATGCAAGAAAGAAAATCCACGGAGCTCCGAAAACTCCGATTCACAAAAGATGATGTATCGATAATCGACTCTTTAATTTTTTTCTTTATGACTCCTATACGTATGTATTTATAATAATTAGAGTTATTATGTTGATGACTAAAAATTTTTCTTTCGATTCTATACAATGCTTTCCTTGCTAAAATTTTTTCTCCTGCTCCTTCGATGTAGAATATTCTTATTTTATTTTGCATTTTTTGTTTTTTACGTCTTTTTCCAATATTTTTAAGTCATTTTTTCATCTTTTAGGACATTTTTTGTAGTTTTTGTACTATGTGAGACATTTTTATCAAATTTTAGATTTTAGAGCAAATATTAAACCCAAGTTTGGAAACAAGTTTAATAATTAATAATTTTATATAATGCTTAAAATGTAAATGTATACTATTGTTTTTTAATATTATAATTTATAATTCATAATTTAAATTACTATTACATTCATTTTCACACACGTATCTCTAATAAAAATTATTATTTATAAATAAATTTTTCACTTAATTAGTTTTTTAGATAATTTTTAAGGTAATTTTTTGAAGTTATTAGGGCATTTTTTGTGTTTTTTAGGTTGTCAACATCCTAACTCTAATAATAATATTATAAATATCAATAAGCAATTACATATTATGTAACAAATAATAATATTTTTCGATTTAATTCAATTGTGTCCCATTCGGAACCCATGGACAGTTTGAGAACCGCTGTGTTACAGACAAACCGGTCGAATAATTATCGTTTATTTTACATACTTATAACGAGTCTGGGTGGTTTTCGACGATATTGCGTCTAAAAATATGGAGGGAGGAAAATTATCTAATAATTATTATCTTCAAAAACAACTTATAACATAATATATTGTATTTCTATAATTATGTATATATGTGTTTCTGTTAAATACATATAATATTAGTACATAGATGCATGTAATTCAACGATTATTTCTTCCTAAAACTAGTCACTATAAATATTGATTCACAATAATGTACCTATATGTGTATATATATCCATTGGGTTATTAAAATGTAAAATATTAAACATAATTTAAATTTATATATATATATATATATATATACTGATTAAGTATACATGTAGTTACATTTTATGCAGTATTCTTTCTGTTTATAATATATTACGTGAATCGTGTTTGGCAAAATATTTATTATTATTATTATTATTATTTTTGTTAATTTAAAAGAGGAAGACCTTCGGGTCGACATTTTTTTTGTTCTCATCTTCAGTCCGAATTTTTTTTCACTAGTTTTATTTTTATTTTGTACGTTCAGAGTGGTAAAAATAAAATCATGTTTCAACCGTGTTATTACCCGTCGAAATGGGATTATGGTGTTCACGCGCAGATTCATAGAGGTTAAGGTCGATGGATACTGGGGGGTCACTCGATAGGAATCGCGATAAACTCGCGTTTCGATATTTACACGTTTATCACGGCGGCGCCCTTCAAAACGTCAGTAAATTTTTCACGAATATCATCATCATTGCGAATAAGATGCATCCTTATACCTAACGTACACCCTATCGCAAACACAGAGGAAGTTTATAGGTAAACGGATTTAGACGTTTTACGTTTTACATTTTAAAATTAAAAAAAAAATAACTAATGCGTTATATTAAAATGCGTAAAATTCAGCACGAAATTAGGTGTACAACTTAAGTTATACACGCGGTACCAAAAATAAATTGTACAACCTTCAGTACATTTACTGCGTATGTATTTATATATTAAAATTGTTTAAAAGACAAAATTTTCTTTTCTTATTAATAAACCATTCAATTATCAGTCGTAAATTTAACGCAAACATGATATATAGTAATGAATACATTATATTTTTGTGTACAGGACAATCGTGTACAAATTATTCCTAATTTCGTTATAACGACGTATTATTGTGTACTTGTGTGTCACAGTAAACAATTATCAAACGCGGTGTTTATATTGTCATCAAGTTTTCAAGTTAATGCAATTGCACAACTCTAATCCTACATTATCCGATACTAGTGGTGAAAATTCATTTCGAAACCACGTTGGATATTATGTGGAAACTAACCTATTTACATATATAAATCGAGAAAACGAGCATTTTGTTGATCAGAAAATTGTAATCTAAGCTGGATCCTTTAAATGATCTGAATTCGATTATTTTACAAATGTGTACGTGGTGAACAGAACAGCAGCTGGACTGCTAAAGTATATAAATACATTTTGATTATGTTTTGGTCAAATTATATTCCACGGACGAGCTTCGTTATTATACGGAGCTCAGCGTTTGTTGCATTTGAATGCTTTCACGACGTTTTCGGTTCGACGAAACTTATAATATACAATAAAATATCGCCAACAGCAATCGATTGTTTTCGTGATATTCGAAACTCGTTATTAACTGCCTATTCGTACAAATTATATATATATATATATTCGCAGTGGCGTATACAGAAAATATTTTCGGGAGGGCTACTATGGACATAGTTAAATTACCACTGTTATCTAAGAATTACTAACAAGACACAGTAGTTACTTATCATCTACATCTCGTTTACAGAATGTTCCAAAAAGATTTGACACGTTGGACGCAAATTCTAAATAAGCATAAAGCAACATTAAAATGTAACATACGTTTAAAATATTTTTTAAGTTTTTTAAAACATTTCGGGGGGGGGGGGTCTGTAGCCCACTAGCCCTTACCCCAATATACGCCACTGTACACTCGTACATGTTAATTGACGTGTTCGGTCGATAAGAATTCCTTACGATAACGATCCATAACGATATTTGTCGAATAGGTGCGTGCGCGCGTATGAAATTAAAATAACAGCGGACAACGGGTATCGTATGAATATTCCATTTCGGATGATAT